GGAGGGGTGGACGGGCCCGGGCATGGGTGGGTGTATGGGGCAGAGGTGGGCGGGGCCCGGGGCAGAGGCGGTGACGTGAGAGGGAGGCCGCACGTGAGGCCCACAACCTGTTTCTAGGCGCAGAGCCAGTCAAGTCGAAACACGTTTATTGGCTGTTGGAGTGGCTGGCCGTGGGGTTGCTGCCTCCAGACTCCAACCTGTGGGGGCACCGGAGACGCACTCACGTCAGGTGGGCTCTGAGGACGGGAGGCGCGGAAGGGCGGCGAGCCTTTTCTGAGAAGCGCTTGGGCGCCAGGCGACACATGCAGACGCCCCTTCCCTGACCCACCCCCAGCTGCTGGGACCCGAGGGGGAGCCAGCTCAGAGGAGGAGGGGCAGGAGCAGGAGCAGGAGCAGGGGGCCGTCACTGGCCCAGAACGGAGCTTACTTGAAAAATTGGTGGTTTAGACCCAAATGCTAACTTAAATCTTAGAGCTTTTCAAATTAATTTAGGGTTGAACTGCTTCTCTTAAGAGTGTGCTTTTTAAAGCAAAAGTTTCTTGGATCTCAACAGCCCTGGGAAATGATTCCAGTGACCGGCCAAGGAATCAGAAACACGTGGACTTGGAGCTTGAGCTGCAGGCCTGGGAGGAGTGGTGATGGGACAGTGGGCTCGGGCCCTGCAGGCGGAGGGGGTGGTGATGGTGGTGATGGGGGGGAGTGGTCACGGGCCCTGCAGGCCTGGGGAGAGGAGGAGGGGTGTGGGGAGGGGAGGAAGTGTGTGGGGAGGGGAGGAGGAGTGGTCAGGAGCGCTGCAGGTCTGTGGGGTCCAGATGTCTGGGGTCCAGAAGGCTCCCCCCGCGCGGCTCTGTACTCCACACCAGACTGTGCTGCCTGCTCAGGGTGTGAGTGCTGTGGGGCCGTGGAAAGGGAGGGACTGAGGGACACGCTACACTAGGAAGCGGTGTGTCAGACATGCACTCACATGAGAGCTAAGCATGCGGGAAAACGGTCCTTCTTACCTAGAAAGTCTTTCGTGCTGGAGAAAGGAAGAGACAAAAAACAAAACAAAGATTAGAAACCAGCATCAGCAAGGGAGAGGTACACGCGTCCCCATCTGCAAACACTTTCAGACCAGGCCTCCTGCAGGTCGCACTGCGCGGCGGCAGAGGGGTGCGGCGAGAGCAGGGGTCCTGGCAGCAGCCCCCCCTCTGCGCCAGGACCCTGCCCTAGAGACAGGGGACACGCTTCCAGCACAGGGAGCGGCAAAATGGGAACAGTCACTACCTGCCCCCTCCTGCTCCAGGAGCCAGGCAGGTCACCAACCCCGGCAAACATCAAGCTCCGGAGGGCGCCCGCCGTCTCTGTCTCCCGGGCCTGCAGTGACGGCCGGGGAGGGACAGTCCCCATCCCAGTCGGACGGACGGACGGCGGAGAAAGCTCTGGGGCCTCAGAAGAAAGGACTCTGAGGTGCAAACGAGGCGCAGACATGGGCCAGGGCAGCCCAGACATGACAGTTCTTCGCTTCACATTTAATTCTCGTCATCAATGACCTTTACCCTCTTACCTCCGCTTTTCTTTTTAAGAACTCAGGAAAAGAAAAGCCCCGCTGATTTGCATGCATCTACTCATTTCCCATTTTGAGGTGCTGACAACAAAATCCCCAAGGACAGAGAGAGAAGGAAGAGGGACAAGGGCCCAACAACCCCAGAGAGGAAGGACCCTTGAACCGCCAGAGTCGCCCAGCTATCCACTCGCCCCCCCACCCTCCCGGCTGTCCAGGGGAAGGACGGAGCGGGCGGCCATTCTCCATGGAAACCTCTCTAAACCAGGGGAACTGCCATCAGGATTCTCAGGTGCTTCTGCAGAATGGACACAGGTTGCCCTCGATCCAGACCGAGT